AACATGAGTTTTCCTGCTGCACCTCAAGAGGACAGTAAGTCCTATAAACTTTGCACTCATGTGCACTGCTAAGCAGTTTTGAAGGATTAAGTTCAGCAAGACAATAAGCCCCCTCCCCGTCGGCAGTACATTCGCCCGTACACTTAATCTGCCTGCACAGCTGGCAGGCTGGTAGCCATCCATTAAACGTTCAATCCGTTCACCAACCTGCCCGGTGAAAATGGGTCAAAAGTCACCAGAGCCAAGGCCTTTAAAAGATCTGGCAGGCCCATATGTTGAGGGGGGAGTGCTTAGGGTTCAAACAGACCCCCTCCCTCTCGCTTCTGAGTTCTTTTCGTTGCTAGTGTTTTTTTTTTTTTTTTAATGTAATAATTTTAGACCATTCGATGTTGTGTTCCAAAGCACATTATGACAGGCCTTTGTATAAAAATATGTGTTCACAGTGCCAGAAGTTCCACTTTTGGGTTTGACGCACCCCCAGTCTCTGGTCAGAGAATAAAAGGAACTCTCATCGCTGTCACCCATGTTACGTCCATAACAACAAAAAGCTAAATTTGCTCTTTCCAATACAAACTTACAAAGTCAACAGTGGCTCTGTTGAATTCTTATTTTCACAGAGCGGGTCACAAATGTGATCTGCTCAAGAAAAATGGGTAATAAGTCGCCAGATTCAGGTTATGAGTTTTTGATATGGCTGGATTCTGTACATCAAAGCTACAATTTGTTATTTGATTTACCTGTAGTGTGCTGCGTTCCAGAGATATACAGACATTTGTATATTAGCATTCAATAAAATTTAATAAAAGCACTTTTTGGGCAAAAGCTCATTAAGTGTAGCACTTGGAAACACAATGCTGTATAGGATTTCTTACTGAATGATCAATTGTTCATCTTTATTCATCAGTATCCATGTTTGCAGTCACAAATTCTGAAAGTATAAATGTTATAGAAGCTATTGAAAAAAATTACATTTTGAAGAAATTTTGCCCTCTCCAAATAGAATGGGCCTTTACATGTTTTGGCATTGCGCGACTTAATACCCTTTTTGCAGCGCAGATCGCAAATAGTATTTGCTCAGGATTTGGGCGTGGGGAAAATTTGATAGATAGAGCTACATATGTACTTTAAAAGTAAAACCTGTCAAGTTTTTGTGCTCATCAAAAAACAGAAACAATCATGGGTAGAATCATGTCATTCTGGCTGGTAAACAATTTTGCTGAGCACACATTATCTTCACTCATTAAATTCCTTGGCTTTGCTGCTGTCGTGCTGCTAAGCATAAATTGGTGTCATGCCAACTTGCAGAGGGCACCAGGAGTGTAGTTAAAGCAATGTATGATTAAAGACAAGACAAACTGGCTCATTTCCATACCAGAGGAAGTCTTGAACTCCTGCCGGGATGGTGCGTACTCTGGCGATGCTGATTGTCGTGATAGAGATGGATGGCTGGATCCTGCTATTCTTGATATGTGACAGGTGGTACCAATGATTTTCAAGATGTATTTTTTTTGAAAGTTGCTAAGTGGTACCAATGATGTTATAATGTCAGGCAGCATTGGCTTTGTATGCATGTACACTAGAGGGGGCATTAATGTAGCCAGTAACAATGCCCAGTGAGGTAGAAACAGCATTGTTTCAACTGGTATGTACCCGTGAACAAAAGCACAGAAACCCACCACTTTTCATCTGAATGCACACAAATGTGTAGGTTATTTCCGGGGAGGAGGGGGGAAGGAGGGTACAGGTGTCTGCAAAGTCTCTTCCCATGAATGTTGAGCTGCAACAGAGAGATGATTTCTTGTATTTGAAAGACATTCATATCACTTATTTTTATATCTGTACCCGTAGACTCTTGGACAGCCCTGGCATGTTGCTGGCAAATTTAAGTCAATGAAGGGTGCGGTCTTTGTAAATAAAGTTTAAACCACCTCTGTGCAAAAACTGTCATGTTGAAAGTTGCTAAGTCGTGTGTGTGATGTGTAGATAACAAATATACGAATATCACTTGCCATCAAAGGCTCTGTTAAATGTGCCCCAAAGGACTAGGAATTACATGCACCAGGAAAAAGGCTGCTAGAGGGTGTTCTGTCCTTCTATCGTTGTACTTGTTGAACTTTGATGGAATATAGTTCTAATTAGGGTCCTGCGTTAAAGCCATTGGAGGATGTATACAGCATCTTATTAGGCATTGAGAAGGACCCACTTTCTCTCAGGTGAGGGTATTTGGCACCTTTTTTGTTATGTCTGAGAATGATTTTCCAAACTCTGATTGAGCAAAGGTGCACTCTCTATGGTACGGTTTGTACACAATCAGACAAAATGGGATATGCATTGTTTTAGAAAAGGCTTAGGGAGGTTTTCTTGTCAGAGCTCATCTATACATCCATATATTTGCCTTTTTTGTAATTTTGTGAGTTCATCTCTTGACTGAATAATTTGTTTGATGATCAAGACACTGAAGCAAGTCTAGGTATTCTGCAGGATATCAGGTTTCTATTTTAGCACTGTGTCAATTTCTTTGGGGAGTGCTGATGTATATCCCTTTCCTGCCGACCAACCAGGTGCGTGGATTATGCTATCTGGCCCTGGTGAGGGGGTACACAGACGTTGTGAGGAGGTCTCAGACTTGATCAGTTTACCTGAATGAGAAGGGGGGAAGTAGAATGATTGGTTTGTCAACTCTTAGTCGAGTCTCTTTGATGAACTCTCTGGTGGCCTAAATTTAAATCCCATCTAACTTGAAAAACAGCATTGTACTTTTGGCATGTCCTATAATGGGTGGGACTTAATGCATCAGTCTAGTAGTGGCTGATGCCCCCAGTGATCTCATACTGCCCCCCCTCCTTTTGAAAATCATTCCACCACTGCTGGCAGACACTCTGCGTCAAGTTTGTCACCGTGGAGGAAGCCACATTTTTACAGCAAAATATCACATACAAGTACATGTACATCTCATTGGTGCACCCAAACCACGAGCTGGTATTGGTGGACTCGAAGTTTGTTCACCTGTAACCCTCTAGGTCTCCATCTCTTAAACTTCTAAATTTCCAATAATCATTTGTCTATCCCTGTTCAGTGTTTTATATAAAGTAAAGTGTTGAACTGTTGGCCACCTTTAGCCTTTGGTGGTAGCTGTTATAATGCCTTTTTAATAGCTTGTGTAAAGAAGCAGCTCATTAGAACTGAGTAATTTGAACGGTCACTCGTAATTATTTAGAGAGCTCTTTCAGCATGTAAAAGAAGTGTATTGGTTGACTGCCGATCAACTGCTCTGGCTGAATTTAGGAAGAGATTTAGTTAAAACCATTCAAATATTTTGAGTTAAAACTATTCTGGGTTAGCATTAAATCCACACTCTGTGGTGATTTAACTTATCCTTTGGTGGCAAGATGAAGCCATGTGAAGACATGGTTTTGACTCAGAAAAGGTAGGTTATAATTACAAAAATCTGTGCATCTGAGTGATACCCAAATCTTGTCCACCATGAGATTAATCACGCTTGCATACTTACTGCAATCTATTATCCCCTTCCCCTCCCCCCCCCCGGACTTGCACAACCCGCGCAGGGACATCATCAGGCAGCTACACTTCCCCGCATACCTGTCACTCTACTTAACCCGGGGCTGTGCCAGAACCTGAGAGGAGGGGAGTGGGAAGGGGAGGGGGGGAAGGCAAGTAATTTGGGAACGATTTGTCCCTGTGCCAGATTAAAATGTCACCATACTGGTTCAATCACAGTCTACAAGTTCTGGGTACGCGATAGTAATGCCAATCTGGAGAATCGGTATCATGGTTGAATTTTTTATACATTTTTATGGTTTCAATTAAGATTGTCAAAATGTGTGACAAATTATGTTTTGATGGGCAGTGGAGGAAAGCCATGCTGCCTAAAAATAGCAGGGATGAAAAAGTACCCGCTTGGGTTCGTTGGGGGACTGTGGGACAAAATATTTTGCAAACTGTAGGCGCCAAGATTTATAGGGATGGGCGTTTGGAATATGACAAAGCATGTTTTTTAATCCCTAAATAGGCGTAACTTGACCCCAAATGCTGTTGTTTGGGTGTGTTCTGGTTTGTGTGGTGGGAAGTGGGCATGTAGGGGAATGGACTATTCGTACCGTATGTGACAGGCACAAAAATCACTTCTCCAAAATCACTCATACTCAGCAAAGTGGCCAGTATGTGTGAGTAAGAAGTTTTTTGTGTGTTATTCAAAAGTTGTCAAAGGTTGTCTTTTTAAGGGAATAAATATGTGCTTGGCTGATCTTAAACCTTTGTTTAGGATCGGCTCAGGAGAATAGACGATGATAATGCCTGAGCTGAAGTCAAAGTGAAAACAATTTTAAAAGTTATAGATTTCCAATGATTTTGTTCAACAGTTTTAGGTTGTGTTTACACACTCCTTTAGCCATACCACAGTATAATTTTTGTACAAGCAGTCATAACAATATAGGTGTACTGCTTGAGGTGGGACACAGCCAGCCACTGCCTTATCATCTGTTTAGGACCAGCCATGTAGCTAGTTAGGAATGGCTAAACTGTCTTAGGTATTTTATGAATTTGCCAAAATACTGACAAATTAACCTTGAATTTCAAGTGTAGCAGAATGGATAATTTGGAAAGGAACCTTTTCTTTTATTGTCATTCCTTTAGATTCACAGAACTTACTGAAAATGCATGAAATATATGGTGTTTTTGGTATGTAATGTTCAACTTCAAAATCTCATTAACAACGAAGAAGAGGGTCATGTTGGCAGGAAAAGTTTCATAACCTTCATTCCATTTAACCCTGACATTTTCTTGATATGTGAATTGAGTGTCATTTCCGTGATGGATGACTTTCCAGTACGGGGAATTTTACAGCTTTCCCCTCCTCTTTGATGTTGTCAGTTGGGAGATGGATGACAGTAGTGCCTCATGTTTCTTCTTACTTTTAAAATAAATCATGTTATATTTCACCTAGAAGACTTGTCACATTTTGTTTTGTTTTTTAATTCCAGAGTACAGTGATCAGATTACGTCCGATCTCATCCCGTCCCTCAATGTGTACCCTCGCTTGTGCATTGTACAGCAGGATGACCATCGCCATGCAGCCATGTTCCCGCCAGCTGACCACTTCACCCTGACCCCTGCCCATACCCCTAGAGTGATCACCAAGGCCGAGATAACAAGGTTTGCCAGAGAGTTCCTGAGAAGAGGCAACACAATGATGTTACAGACAGAGCAGTTTTGAAATAAGGGCGGAAAGTGGGGGAAATGAAGGAGTGTTGTGAAATTTACATGTACCTGTAGGATTGTCACTTATTTGTTTACTGTACTCCTCTTTGATAACATGCCCAAAGGTTCTTCTAAGTTAAAGTTGTGATGGCACTTTAGCTCTCAATCAAGGGAAAAAAATTAGAGATGAAGAAGTCCTCAGTGGTAGACATGGGAGAAATGCCCCAGAATGAATTTCCAGAGAAACCAACGGAATCTTGAAGGGACAGGAACATCCCATCCACTTGTTGACCTGGTTGAGATATGAACTTGGGTGGCACAGGTGAAAAGATGTTTTGACAACCTGACTCTCGGGCAATCCTTTCTTTTTTGGCAAACCAGATTAACCCAGGTTAATGGATGGAACAATGCCTTTGCCCCAGAAAGAAACAGTATAGGAAAGAAGCATTCTTGTCAACTACTCTCGAAGTGGTAGCAGAATACCCTTAAAGTGAATGGTGATGTTTGTCCACTAAGTACATATTAAAACTAGAGAAAGCAGTGACCTCATGTCATTGGGATCAAGTAATAATGTGTGTCACAGTAACAGGATGATGAGTATCAGTGTTGTCATAAATCGAGCCATATAGATGGTATAAAAAGTAACTGTCATTGCTGATAAAATTGCTGTATGTCTTACCCCTAATTATGAAGTCAGCAATCACTCATCTCACATGCCAATTTTGCCAGCCCTGGCTGAAGGTGCCTACAGTGAAACCTGTTGCCTTTTTTGAAATCTGTTTCCATAGTATGTACCGCATTGTTGTGCCAGGTAGGAAAAAAAAAGTATTAGGATATTGTTCTTTACTTACGAATAGTGGATTCAGTTGCATCTAAAGGTTAGGATTCACAACCAGGAGTCACTGCCAGTGACCTTAGATGTGCTGTGAGTCACTTGACTTTCAAAACCAGCCTGCCGGATCAATATGTCCACTGATTTGTTTTGACCAGGAACTGATAACCCAGAATATGATACACCTTGCAGGAGCATGTGTCTCTTTGAGTGAGACTTGCACTGTTTCATCACCAGTAGCCTTATGCTTGGCTCTGGGTGCTATCTGTTGGAGGGCATTACAGCTGCCTCCTCCCTCCCAGTAATCTTGGCTCTATATGCAAGCCATTAATGGCGGCCAGTGCTGCTGCTGGTTACAGCCTTGGCTTTGGGTGCTAGGTGCTAGCAGCCTAGCACTGCCTCACTCTCAGTTACTTGGGCTATAGGTGCTAGCCACTGAGTGCCAGTACTGCTGCATTCCTCTTAGCCTCAGTTGTAGGTACTAGCCGGTACTGCTGCATCCTGACACAACCTTGATTGTAGGTGCAAGCTACAGAGGAGCCAGCCCTGCTGCTTTCCCTCTAGCCTCAGCTGTAGGTGCTAGCCAGTATTTTTACACCCTTATGCAACCTTGATTGTAGGTGCTAACCACAGAGGAGCCAGTACTGCTGCATTCCTACTAGCCTCAGTTGTAGGTATTAGCCAGTGTCATTGCACACTGATACAACCTTGGTTGTACTGAGTTGCTAGACTCTGAAGGGCCTGCGTTTCTCTGTACCTGTTAGCCTTGACTCCAGGTGCTGGCCATGGAGGATACTCCATCCCCAGTAACCTCAGCTGTACTGTAGGTGCTGGTCTGCTGCAGCCTTGTGTCTATGTACTTCAGGTACTAGCCATCGAAGGTACCAGCACTGCTATGCTCTCAGTATCCTCTGCTTTAAGTTCTAGGTACTGATGAGCCAGTACTACTGCACCCCTGATGCAAACGTTGGTTGCAGGTGCTAGTCTCTGAGTGACCTCTCCTGTTCTGTTCCTGCTAGCCTTTACTTTAGGTGCAAGTCGTGGAGGGATATTAGCATTGCTACAATTCCCAGCCACCTCAACTGTAGGTCCTAGCCTACGGCAACCTTGGCTCTAGGGGCTAGCCATTGAAGAGAATAGCACTGCAACACCCTCATAACCTCAGTTTTTTGGGTGCTAGCCATTAAGGGGGCCAGTGTTGCTGCATATCTAGTAGCCTTGACTGCAGGTGCTACCCATTAAGGGCGCCCAATACTGCACACTTCAATCCTTACATTTCTCAGTCATTATTAGGAAGTTAAGCAGGTTTCTTTAACATTTTAGAAAAACTGGTTACTTTTTTTTAATGGGTAACCTGTAGAAATAAGTTGTAACATGTTAGTGCTGTCTTCAGATTAAGATGTGTGTGTGCTCTTCCAAAGGAAAAGACCTATTTTGCCTGATCAACATTAATTTGTCTCGGTAATTTTTTTTTCAATGTGCCCACTACCGTGAAACTGATGTTATACACTTTTTTGATGCAAGTGCAATATTGCTGTTTCATACCGGTTGCATCATATTATAACTGGGATTTGTGGGTAATGGGCAGATGTGGAACACCAGAAGGAGAAATTCCAGCGAGAAAAACCTGCACTGTCATTTGCCTTTCCTGACCCACAATGATGCGATCCGGCCCTGTCATACATTTTCCCCCATTAAAAAGACCTCCTGGGAATTGGTTGAGGAATTAGATTTTCCAATACTTCATAGGATGTAGATTATTTCATGTCTATAGTGTAGTTCCTAAAGAGTGTCAGATGCATACGATAGTAACTGTATCCCTCGGTTCCTTGGGGATGTGCTCACATCAGCAGTAGTGCCCCTTTTGCCCTTCAGCATCCCTTGGCCGGCATGGCCTTGAACATTGGACAGGTAATGTGACTTATGCTGGATCACCCTCAAGGGGATCCCTTTTTTCAGCTTCCTCGCCAGTTTGATTATACATGTACATGCATCACCAGAGCCTTTCCTCCTGTCCCTGCTACCATTAAAAAGCGTCCAGTTTTAGTACACATAACCTCTGTATACATGCATTAGGGTCGCGAAATGAACTTGAGAGTGTCTCGTGTTTGTTTAAAGTGGGGATGCGTGTGCCTTTTCCACTAAGTCGTTATGAGTGCTCTCTGCCAGATGATCCCAAACCCCAGATTAAAAAAGGTATGATTCCGCCGACCTGATTTCGCGTTTCCCGGTCAGAACTGGAAACGGGACTTAACAAGTCCTGACATTGGCGGGAAGGCTCCGTCAAAACTGGTCAGTCACAGGCCTGGCACGTGAGACAGTGATTGAAGTCCGCGTTGTCAGTCAACCGGCCGGATCTCCCCGCTCCGGGTCTGTATACAATGTAGTTGGCCTGAACATGCATGTTAATCAAAGGTACATCATGCACTGCTGCACGTCTCGGATATCTGGAAGTTTGGTTTTCTAAAGATTTTGCGGCAGGAAAATGTTGGTATTATTGAGGTTCGACCTTCGGCCCTTCTCCATGCAAAAAAATCTGGTCACGTGCCTTATGTTTTTCCAAGTGACGAAAAGCTTCTTGTATCTCATTTCTGGAGGATTTTTTCATACGATGTTAGTCTAGCCATTTCTAGCACAGGGGAGACAGCGTCAGGAAGTTGTGACTGCGGCTGGAACTTGACACTCTTGAATGGAAGTCACAGCTGCAGTGGCTGCAGCTATCTCCCGTAGATGTGCCTTATGCACAAATACCAGCTGTAGCCTGTGGACCTGGACACTGTCTGTGCTGTGTATGCATCTACATGCATGGAACGTTCAGTTCCTGGCTGATTGGAAAACGTCAGTTCAGAAGCTTTGCAGCATATGTATCTAGGCCCGACATATAAATATATCGCCAATTTCATAGTTATATTACAAGACGTAGGCTCATCTACATGTACTTTCATTCAATTCGGTTTTTCATTCCTCAGCGCCATACAATTATCTTATTGCGGGTCCAAACCTAGAAAAGCTTTTTAATTCCTGCATCTTATAGATGACCCCCCCACCTTTTACGCATTTGATCAGCGATTACCAACTTCTTCCCGTTGTTGCTCAATCATTAGAGTGCAAGATAACCCCGCTATATTGGAGTGTCTCCGGTTATCCATCAGTTGTCGGAGTTCAGGTTGACAGCTGTCAGATATACCCTGGCTTGTCATTCCAGACATCACAGAACCAACTCCATGTCAGTGTTTTCCCTTCAACGCAAGAGAGCCAACTCACGACTGGGGCACAAGCTGCCGATTTCCCGGCTAAATAATTCTGTTCTGGAGCTAAAACGAATCTGACAATTGGGATTAAGGGGACACGTGTTTCAGATTATCCGAGGCTTGCTCAGGGAAGCGGAACCTGAATGCTGCTGTTTCGCAGGTGTAATTGGCTGTTCGTCAGCCTGTTGAGGTTTGTTCCCGTCCCGATGCTCGATCGCCCCAGGATGTACCTGTTCCTCGGGAGAGTCGCACCAGAGCTCCTTGTTCACCGACTGATATACTGTTTCTTGTAATTTTTCCCCTTGAGTATGCAAGTTTTTACCCAGAACGAAGCCGTCTGGTGCTACGTATGACGTCAAGGACAAAATGCAGACACTCCTTTTTATTCTTGCCGTGAGCCAGATCCACGGAGGCACTGGCCTTCCTAGCCTTTCGGCTAGCTGTAAATATACCCAGCAAGAAATGAGATCGAGGGGTACCCCCCCCAACATGTCCAATCCCTATACACATTCCAGACTATTGTTACTTAACACATCCCCCCCAGGATGTCTGAAAGGAATTCCCCAGATTCCTGCGAGACAATGACCAACACAAAGCATGGGGGGTTCTCTCCGTCTCATACTTTGCTGCATATGGCTGTAAAAGCCCCACATGCTTTAATACCCTTAAATACAATGACAAACCAGAAGACCAGTAGATGGAATTTCAGGTTATTCATGGTGAAGGACGGCAACAGGTGGAAAGTTTTGCGGTAGCACCTTCCGAAGGAATATATTTCTCTTATGAGTATGTGTGGTTCTGGTATACGGCCGATATGGTGTTCGAGGATCATTACTGAGGTTGCTTCAGTCGATATCCTTTTAGGATCCTTTTGAGTTGAAGTTTCAGAAACGAAATCAGCCGCCGGGCTTAGTCCCCAAGATGTGATATCTGTGCTGAATCTTGAATAAGTTGACAGTAGAAACGTATTTGTGAAAGAGGGAAGTTATACATTAACTTGTAAAGAGGAAAACGTTAATATAAAAGTCTAGATAATGCAGTTTTTTATCAAGTTCATTCTGAATTGCTCAAGTTTTTTAAGATGGTAATTTTGGTATTTATTTGTTAGATGAAAGTTCTTTGCGCGTGAGTTGAATCCGTCCTGGTTTTCATGTTTGTATATATTGGATTTTGCTATATTTAAGACAGAAGGTTATTTCATGATTGTATTAAACTGTAAATCAGATCCATTCGAAGTACATAAATGTGACGTTGATATAAATGTAAATTGCTTACCAGAGAGTTTTCGATTGGAACAGTTTTCCCATTTGTAGTATTTTTATATCAGTGAGAGTATATTAATAAATGATTTGAATACACAAACGTAGCAGTTGAGATACCGACAGTTCTGTTATTATAATCGATCAACATCGACGATAGACATATAGATAATCAAAATTGTCAAATCTTGTACATATTGTTTCTCAACTTATTTTTCAAACAGACATCCCTTACTTCTTCTGGAAGTGCTATATGCCTTGAATCTTGCGTCACAGTTTCTCATTGTTTCCCCCGTACATGGAAACACGTTAATTTTATTTTGTACTCATTAGACGAAGGCTGTGTTAGAATTTCTTGGCTGTGACTTGGAATCACAGGCAACTCTATGGGAAAGGGCCTCAGCCCGTACCATCGAGTCGTGTAGTGTCAAGCTGCAGCCAAGTTTTGTGGCGTTATATTGGCTTACACATGGATGGATGGATCTTGCCCCCATGACATGGCGTCCTTGTGTGAACACGATTTGTGAAACTTTATCTTTCCTCAGAACTGTCAACTCAAGCAGACGCTGTCCCTCAAAATTAAACTCCATCCAACCGCGTTTTCCTCTCTAGAGGAGCTCCGTTCCCACCAACCGCATCCGCGCTTCTCACGCGACGCCGCACACCTCGCCCGTCTTTTCTTTATATACCTGTCTATTTTTAGCTCCGAAAAACAACAAAGCAGCCACCTGCCGTCTTGTCACTATTTTTCTTTTATGTGTTGTGACTCGTTTGCGCTTGAACACAGTGCTGGCATGCAAATTAACTAATACCTTTGGTATTGTCATGAGACAGCTGCATCGCTTGTCTTCTCGAGTCTTTGTCAGAGCGGCATTGTCTTTAAATCTGCCGAGAGATTGTCTTCCAGTGTGACTTATCCCTTCACGCGTAATTGTCAAAACCTCCTCTGGACAGTTTTTCTTTCTCATCGTTGGGTGACTCAGGAATTTGATATGATTGAAATTGAAAATGGCAGCGTCTGTCACTCAATTTTCCAGCCCATACCGCACAAATCTTTTAATTTTGGAATCATTCGCCACTTTGTTTTATGCACGAATAACGGGGGAGGATTCAGTGTTTTTCCAACACCACTTGGAGAAAGTGTTGGGCTATCCCCAACAAGCAGCTGCACAATTTGTCTTACTTATTAAATGGTTAATCCCCCTTCAAAGAGGAATTAGAGAAACTTAAGCAAAAACATTTGTCATACAACGTTAGTTACTCCTGAGCCCATTCTGTACTTGACAAACGACATTTTCCTGAAATACTTTGACGCAGAGTCAAAATGATTGAACTAGTGGCCTGTCAATAAATAAATGCCTCCTAAATATCGGGATACACGAGTGCAAAAGATGCAAAGGCCATTGCTGCTGGATGATCCCTGAGATCTTCATACATGCCACTCGTTCTCTACAGAACTTCTTCTCTGGCAAAAAAGATTCACGCGGTTAGCTAACAGAAACCTTCGTCTCGTCTTTTTTTATTTAGTGGAGTGACCCCCCCCCATTCCAACCCCCTTCGGCGCGTCTAGTTCGCCTAGCCTGGCCGACCAAAACCCTATCTCAAACTCCTAGTTACAAAACTATCCAGTTGGTGCCGATTCCATCCGTTCCGTCGCTTATATACCATTCTATTTTTCGATCTAGATTTCGGTCAGCTCTGCCACCTGTTGTGGACTCTACCACATTACTTATTGTGTCACTTCCAGCATGTTCCAATAATTACTAGTAGGCACGCAACAACCGCTCGGACAATTTGGGATAACACGTCATTTCCGTTACAGTTGCCCGGAAACTCGGGAAAATGTCGTGGCTTTTTTATTTGAACAAAGATTTTAGTAATGAAAGGAAGAATCATATACTCTCTCTCTGCGCACGGGTGTATGAGCCCCGAGCTGGGCCAAGAGAGGGCGCAATTTTCCGAGAGAGGCCCTTGCGGTGGGAAACTACACTTTGCTGGTTCACAAATAACTGTGCTCGCGTCGCGCATCGCTATACGAGCACTCCCCACCAACGTGGCTCTCTTCAACCGATGAGGGGGTGTTTCTGCTCAAGGTGAAAGCATGTAGGTTTTCCGTTGGGGACAGGACAGGTCACATTTCTTTAAGTGGAGCCCGCCTCCAAATACGCTTCCGAAACTGAAAGAAGAAGATGTAACTTTCTTATTCCGGCTTTAATGTGGCCAAATTTGACACGTTAGTATTTTAATATTGAATGTTTGTATCTTTAATACCCTCTAAGGGCTGAATCCTACGCAGTGCACAGGGAGGAATAAAACATTGTCAAAATTACTCTCTGAAGAGAGGCTCCAGAAGTACATGGTTCTGCGTGACCTTTGGACTCGCAAATCTGAGTAAAATTACCGCTTGGGACTCTTTTTGAAACAATAACAATGGAGTGGCGTCAACCTGCAAAGGAAGGGGTACTCCAGTAGCAGCCTCCCCCCCCCCGCACGCACACACCTGTAGATACACCAGTCCAGCCCTCTGCCGCCTTATCAGCATCCTCCCACATATGGAACAAGATATGAGACTTAGAGAACCCCCCCCCCGCTTTGTGTTGGTCATTGTCTCACTAGAATCTGAGGAATTATTTTCAGACATCTAGGGGGATGTGTAAGGTAACAATAGTCTAGAGTGTGTGTAGCGATTGGACATGTTGGGGGGGGGGTACCCCACGGCCTCATTTTTTGCTGGATACATGCCCCTCAGCCCACACAATCATGAACACCGTGAATCACTGATCTGTCTTTGCGGGAAGCGGTTACCAATTTCCAGATGGGCTTCTTCAAGGGTGCGAAGAGCCGGAAATACCAGATCATCATATTCGGCGCATCTCTACCTCGATATTTCCGCGATGGGCACCTTGATGGGTGCATCGTATAATGCTCCATTTCCCTCGTTATCTTGAGCCGATGACAGTTTCTGCCATAAAGGCTGCGGAAGCGATGGTGAGAGGGTGCGCGCATTTTACCTTCTTGTTTTTGAAAAGAACTACTCCCTATACTTTTGACCCGAACTCCAGAAACGTATTTACTCCCTACCCCAGCTTTCGAAGCAGCCCCCATTGTTGGTTTATGCTTGGAAGAACAGTAGGCCTAATAACAAACTGCTTTTGAAATCGTCACTGATCTTGAGGAAATAGCAGGATACTCATAAGACACACAAATAGGCCTCCACCGGTAATAAAGAAGAAGGACTTCCATGAAATCATTCCTTCACAATGCATTGATTGGGATGTTAGTTGCACACCCTCATTTATAATTCATAATTTAACACCTTTGGTGTTAAATTGTAAAAACAATGTTAAATTATTTATCCAAACTATACAGTGAACAGTAGAAGACTATTTTGTAAAAAGTCTCAAAGGTGCCTTATTTAGTGCTCCCATCCCACTACTTCATATTTGACCTGGGTGTTTTGCGAAAGCTTGTCACAGACTTATTAAAAACGGCTTTGCTGTTGTTCCCAAATCTAAGTCGCTCGTGGTTTTTCTATTTGCGTCAGCGCAAGTACCACCACTGCCTCCATTTGCAACCTGAAACTCCGAAGTGAACGGTAGCGTTGCTTGGGATGGGCGCATTGTTTTCAAATGATACAATGCTGTTTGTTGTCTCCAAGTTCTGTGCGTGTCGATTGGGTGGGGGGCACCAGAAGTTGGGCCACCGTGCCTCTAGCGGCAGGGTCGGTTCAAACCACAGCGGAGAGCACCTTTTGCAATCAACGTCTGGGTACCGTAATGGTGACGGCACCCGACTAAACATGAAACCATGGGCGGAAACAGTTAAATACAAAAGTGTGCATAAAATGGTGTTCAGTGGAACGATGTCGCGATGAGTGATGCAAACAAGAGATTTCGGATGGTAACACATTGATGGTGACTGAAAAGGTGACTGTGAAAAGTCTTTTACATGCGTGCTGCCAGTTGTGTTTCTGTTCGGTATTTGTCAAAGAGAAAGTTGTTCTTTTTGTGTGCAAAATAAAGTAGCCCTGGCGGATTAGGTG